ACCAATTATTTAAAGTATTACAATTTGTATTAACTCAATGTACATTGCATTTAAATAAATATATATATAGCCTATATATATTATTATTATTTAATTTATTTTTTTACTTAACAGAAAAACAAGCTAAATAAATATAAAACGTTTTGGGTTTTTTTTACTTTAGTTTTTAGCAGTTTTACTGCTAAAGGAAACTATTGAAGCACAGCAGAAATGTTTCAAACAACCAAACAGTTGGAATATAGCCCTAAAAAGTGCACTGGAATTAGATCAAATCTATCAACTTAGTCAAAGTTGGAAAAGTTTGTCGTAAAGCTGTATTCTCACCTCCTTGCAGAGTTTGCTTGGCCAGCCAGAGCACCAGTGAAGTCTGCAGCAGAGCTCGGAGCAGCATGATGGATTAAGGTTAAAGAGACTGCAAAACTATAAGAAACAGAAGGACAGAGAGAAAGCTGCTTCCTAGAGCATCACACTGACATCCAGCTCTTATATATGCTGCTTTTTTTCTGTGATACACTCCCACCCCTATCCAGCCCAATGCTGAACACCTCTAACAGGGCAGAGCGTTTCCATAAGCTGAGAATGCACAAATGAATAGACACTGGGTAACATGCAGAAGTTTCAAACAAATTTCTTAATTTGTAGCTTCCAATTAGTTAGATGAATTTAACAACAGTTCTACTGGTTTTTCTAAGCTTATCGTTGGCCTTACAAATAATATTTGTCAAGTCTTTGTTACCGAAAACTTATTGTGGCATATCTGCATAAAAATAACAGGAAAGTGGAAGACAAAAAAAAGATTGTCTTAAAGGTCATAGAGAGTCTTAAGAGGTGCTTCAAGTGACTAATTATTGTATGTTAAGATTTCAGCAAACGGCTCTGCAGGAATGAGCTTGTTGGAAATAAAAAAAAAAACAATCCCCATATATAGAAACAGTCTGTGTTTAAAAAAAAAAGCCAAAAGCTTCCCTTTTAGTATTATTTTTTTAATTCATTGAATAAGATGTCTATCTTGTGTTGTCATATTTATATCTCTCTTGTGTTTGAGAGGTTTTAATCCCCTTTTGTTGTCAGAAAAAAATCTAGGTCAAGTAAGAGTAGAATTACATTTAGGATAAGGCAGATTAAGGAAAATGCTGCATTCAAGATCACAGGATGTTTAAATTATAAAAGGCATTGATTTCTTTATCAAACATTACTCTATGTAGTCGCTCACTCATTTACACAAAGAAAGGCTTTTGGTTTCTGAAGACGGAAGCTGATGAAGAAGCTGATTTGTTTTGGAGCTCTGTGGTCCAGCTCATGACCCAGTCCCTATTGGATAAGCTTTCCTGACACGTCACAGATACACCACTTAGACAGAAGAATCATTTAAGATATTTTTAATGTTTCATTTTGCCAGATTTTACAAATAGATTTTTACAAATGCAAATAAAAAAACCTGAGAGATGTGTTTAATACAGTTTTGGTCCAGTTTATATTCTGTTGACTGTTCTCCTATTACTATCTGATAATCCAACCTGTTAGAATAAAAAACTAAATAAATGGGACCTTCCTAATGTTGTTTAATTATTCTGATGAGAAATAAAAAGACGATGACATTGTAATATTTGTGTGCTAACTTTAGAGATTTCCTGAGGCAGGTAAAAACAAGATAATGCAAATAACATTAATTAATGTTAATTGCTTTTGGAGAAAAAAGCCAACAGTCCAGACCAGATTTTAAAATGATTTAAAGGTGATTTAACGCACCCCCATCACTGCAGTCAACAGGCTCTCTGATGCAACAAAAGTTGCGTTTACAGGTACTGGGGCCATTTTCCAAGTATTTAACATTGGTAATATAGAGAGCCTTTATGATCCTCTTTATGTTTTACTGTGGTAGGTCCTGACAGCCATACCTTAATGTAAAGTTTATGTCTTAAACTTGTGCACAGCAGCACTCAATGCAAACTATAGAACCACATATTATGATTTACCTCTGAAAGCAGACTTTTGTTGTTACACAGCTCCAGGAAAACTTTACTCATATGTGCAGACCACCACATTGTCTCCCCTGGTGGTACCGAGCACAAGACAATAACACAACCCCCGTCTGACTCACGACTCCTTCATCCATGATTCACCTCTAAACATTTGTCTGTCTGCGTCTGTTTTAGCTATTAAAGGTGGGTCAGCTTTTAAAAGAGGTGAAAGCTTAAAAACAAAATGGCTGCAAGAAGAGAGAAAGAGATGGTGGTGCTGATTCTGCTGGCTCATGTGGGTAAACATTCAGGCCGTATGGACGGGCTAGTGACTTTTCCTGGCACAGAGTAACCCATTTTCAATATAGTTGGGGTGAGGGTTTTGGAAATGCTATTTCAGTGGTCTAATGTTGGCCCCATAAAGGTAAACAAATATCTGAGTAAAGATTACTACATCAGATGATCTAGAGAAAAGAATAAGACAAATGTTATAAACTTTTTTTATAAAGCGCTTTAATGACAGCAGCCACTGAACAAAGTGCTTTACATAGATGACAAAAGAATGAAAAAAACAAGGAAACTTTACAATAGATTAATAAATCTAAGCATACAGCTTAGATAAACAATAAAAACAATAAAATACGAGAGAGCCATAAAACAAATAAGATTTATATTAAAAGAGGACTTTAAAAAAATGTAAAATAAAAAATAAATAAAATTAAGTCTCGGTTGGGTTTAAATTCAATGTGTAAAGATAAGATTTGATTTATTAGAAATTATAAAATCTATGTTTGCGAGGAATGCTATACTAACTGTGAAGCATAGTGATGGCAGCATCATGTTGTGGGGCTGTTAATCTGTTAAAGGGTCTGAAACTTCCAGCAGAAGCGTGATTCCAAACAGACTGTAAACCACGTATGCTCATATTATATTACTGGAAAGGGTGTTCTGAAATTATAACCTCAACACTAGTGAACATTTCTAATAGAAGTACAAATTTATTTGCCAATAGAAACAGGAAGCCAGTTTTGAAGTACCGTAATCATATCACAGCAATTTTCAGTTGCATATCTGTGTATAGTTTTTAACCCAGAATGATGAGATAATAAATTCAAACTGTTGTAGTTGTTCTGTAATTATCTGGGTACAATGGTTTGCATTCTACCCCTCTGTCACCAGGGGTGTCGTGCCAGTTTAATTTACTACTTTGTTTCTCTCCTAAATGAAACAAATAGAGAAATTGCTGCTAGAACTAACCTTCTACTTTTTACTCACATATATAGCCATCTTGATCAGTGCTTCTGTGTCCCTTTGAGTATCTGCTCTGTCCACCTAAACCCCCCAGTCTGTGGAGGCAGAAGAACGTTCACACTAAGCTTAGTCCTACTGGCAGTTTCTTACTGTTAAAAAGAAGAAACCTCCTTCCTTTCCACTATCCATGCATGCTTAGTATAAGGGATTGCTGCAAAGTCAATGACTCAATGCAATCACCTGGGTGTCCTCAGAAAGAAATTTTTTTATAATCCTGTTTATATCATTTAATCTTTTTTTTTTTGTCATTATGCAAATAAACTGATTTCATTTTCATTTTAAACATATCCGTTGCTGTGCAGTCTAATGGTTGATTTGTATAGTATATTTAGCGTATTCAGATACATTTTTAACTGTTTCTCCAATCAAAAACTAGTAACACTTTATTTGAAGAGGTGTGTCTAAGACTGATATTACACTTTTAGAAACATGACAAACTTTATGAGCATAAAGGAGTCTTTATGAATGTTTTATAACTGCTGATATAATTCAGTAAATTATGACACTTTTAATGCAAAGTTCACCTTTTTATATGTCTCTGCAATGTCAACTTGACATTTACAGAAACAAAAATGTCTATGATGACAAGCTGGTAATAATAACCAAGAAATTATAACCCATCATAAATAATTCATAACACATCTGATTATTTTGTGGTCAATGTGAAGTTTTTATAACGAAGATATTTTAAACAATGACAGCTTTGCAGTTAAAGTGTCATCATTTACTGAATAACACTTACTGAGGAAATTAATAAACATTTATATAGACTCCTTCCTGTTTATGACAGTTTAATGTCACATCCCTTCAAATATAGTCCCATCAAACACTTTCTACACAAGTAAACTGCTTATTATTATTTTATACCTCCCTATGGGTTAAATATTATTCCAGATTATTAGGCCATCAGAAAACATTCAGAGAACTGATTTAAAGGAGGAACAGAATTAAAAACATAATTTTAGAGCAGAGATTTACTTTATTTATTAATTTATTTTTACAAGAACTGTAAGCAAGATTATACAGTATATAGTACATTCTGTTTACTTACCAAGCAGAAAAAATCAACTAGAACACATCAGGAAGTCAGAAAGTCGGACCCAAGTTTAAAATCCAACATGGTAGCCTTAAAGGTACAGTGAAGGATTTTCGAAAATCTTTAAAAAAGAACCGCTCTCTCCCCTTAAAAAAAAAAAAAATGCACATGCTCAACCCAGTACCCGCTACCGAGAGGGAACGCCTGTTAAACGCTTTCAAGAGCATGTACAAGCCCATTCCTCCTTGTGCATGCTGTTTAAAAGTTGCTGTTTGTATCAATAATACAAGCTTACTTTCCAAAAGAAGATTTGCAATTTTTCCACTTTGTCAGACTCATCACCCTTAAGTGAAAATGGGGACGAGCACGTAGCCTTGCCTTAAGTAAACATATCACCAGAATGATTGACAATTAGGAGGACCACTTATTTTGATTATCCACCCGGAAAAAGAACATCCTCCACTATACCATACTATTACAAAAGCCGAGAGCGTTCATACCCAACTTTTTTTTTTGTCCTTTGTCTTTTTGAGATAAAGACATAACTATCTCGTTATCACGGCTTAACAAATAATTGTTTCCTCGAGGTAACGAGATAATTATCTCGTTATCATGAGAAAACAGTTATTGATTTCTTGAGTTAACGAGATTATTAACCTGTATGAGTAACGAATGAGGCTGGCCAAGAGCCCTTGATTCCCAGTCTATCCATGCCTGCTGTGCCAGTGGTTATGCAGTTGCGGTACCATATGTGCGCAAATAATATTTTTTTTTAGTTTCCTATTTCTTTTCACTCATTGTCAGGTCGTGGTGGATGATTGGATTGCATGGAATGCAGTAGAAACAAATATGACTGTTTTTCAATGAAAATCTTTAATCCGGACTCATTTTGGGGATAATGCATCTTATACCTGTTACAGGCGTAACACCAGGGCTGTTCAGAAAACTAAACCAGCGGAGGCATAGGTCTAATTGCTAATGAATCAGAAGTGGAAGCAAATCATCAAACCTTCAACGTCGTCTCGTTACCTAAAAATTGAACACAGGATTATTTACAGAATTACACATAGGCTGCTATGACTTATAAATCCTCTCCTGCTGTTGTGGTGTTAATTTATGCAATCAGTTTTAATACACACCAATTATCTCG